TGATTTTAAGTGCGCCGTATTTTCCAAACAACACGGTAATAACGACGGCCCGCTAGCATGCGCTACCAAAAATAGTGCTTTGTTGTGTATCTGACGGACGAAAGCTAAACCAGTTCCACACCAGTGAAGCTGCAGCATTTTTACAAACCAGTTCAGGTTCATGGTTTCATTCAACGATCCGCTCTCGCCTCTTCTCGTTCTGCGTCGCCGCCATGCTTTTTCCGCCATGTGCGTTTGAAAACAAAAGCACATATTCTATCGCCATATTTCATTTTCTTGTCGTTGCCCAAAGTTACACCGGTATTACCGTGAACGGTATGATCTAGCCCAGCCCTATTACCAAGTGAACATTTACCCTGTGGCCTCGCTGCTGTAAAGGGAGGATGTTGGTGCTCTAACTTCAGCTCTGCACACAAACTCACATTGTGCAGTTCCTTACGTTCTCCTTGCATGCCAGGAGCTGTTATCTCTGCAGATTGTGAAGCTGAGTGCGTGCTCTTCATCACGGTGTCAGTTTTTAGATGCAGTCTCACGTTTCCTCTCATCCCTCTGGGCTGTTTCACTCCACAGCGTGTGCACCTCTTGTACTCTGTGCGAGCCCTGCAGCTTCTCCCACGATCCCAGTCACAATCTGGTGAGAGCCAGGACTCCCCTGTCCATCCCGGAGCACGGATCACCGGCCCCAGACCACAGCAGGTGTGACACAGCTACCGGACTTTAACACGTGTTCATATTTACCAAAAAGCACAAACTAGCTTCATATTATCAGCTTTACACACTAAATATTTAATTAAAACATGAATGTTTGTTTTAAAGATATGTGGTATGAGTGTGAGCTGATGCAGGGCTGTCTGAATCCAGTATAAAATGCTACACCTGGCTGTAGACATTCCCATAATGCTGATGTTACTTCATCTCGATCCATTGTTGTTTAGGTTCTACAGGCGGGGGGATCGCAGTTTCCGAAAGGCAGAGAAGCAGCGGCTGAAAGCCGAGAAGCGCCTGCTGAAAGCTGAGGTGAAGGAAATCCGGAAGCAGCTGAGGATGGAGAGGCGGGGCATACAGTGGAGCTCGTCCCATCGAGACGGAAGCTCCTCCCCCGTCCTCCTGCAGCCTCGAGCCACACAGCACAACAGCCCAGAGTAGGTCCCAACCAAGTTAGGCTGCAGGACGCACTTCATTTATCTCAGTGTCGATCTCCTCATGTGTGATTCCAGAGTAGCTCCAGAAACAAAGTCTGTCTTTATTCAAACATCAGCTCACACAGTCGAGTCACAGCGAGGCGCTATCAGCTCGTCGGGGGTCGGTGTGGACGAAATGCATTTCTGTGACCCTGAAAGCTTTTGTCCACCTGCTACGGCTTCCCCCAAAGTTGAAGCACATTTAAAGATGAATGGTGATCCTAGGTTGTTATAGTGCAATGAAGTGAATAGACTGTGGGAAAATATGGCAAGCAGACTGCAGCAGTCAATAAGGCGGTCCATTGTAACCGCTGCTCTGGGATGATGGGAGCTGAATGACGATATGAATGAGTTTAGAGTGAGACGTGATGAAGAATTTGAATAAAGGGATTTTCCTCTTGTTGCCCAGGCGACCAAAGCGCCCCTGTCCCCTGGTGGTTCCTGCCATGACGGCAGCGTTTTTGGACGAAAACCTTCCTGACGGAACGCGTCTGCGTCCTGGGACCAAGTTTATCAAGTACTGGAAGATGAGGAACACTGGGACTCTCAGCTGGAGTGCTGAGACTAAGGTAAAGTCTCAAACAGCAGCTCATTAACAGCTTGGATTCTCCTGAGAGCACCTACACCAGAACGAGACCTGCTCGCCGTCTCAGAGCCGTGAATATCATGGACGCGTCCATGTGTGTACAGCACAGACGTGACCTGACGGTGTGCTGGCCACAGTGACGCAACTATATTATTCGACCCACCGTTAGATGTACTTTTTACATTTTGGGGGAAGTGTAACTGTTGGCTGGGTTGCCATAGAAACAGCTATACTCATGATCCCAGGTGATGAGCGTCACTGACCGGCGTGATTACCCAACCTTTGTAGTGAAATGTCATCACTGACTAACACAAATTTCATGCTCGTCATCACATCTCATGAGTTTCAGGTTCAGACCTGGTGCTTTTTGTTTGAATAGGCTTAGTTCAGCCG